CTTGGATGCCAGTGGCAGCTTGGCCACAGGTGCCTTCGCCTTGCCTTCATCCTCGCTTGTCTTCTCTGGTGAGCCCTGCGTCTTGGCTCCAAACACCTTCGAAAGAGGCGAAGGTACCCTGGCTGTGCCAACTCCTGCTTTCGAAGCCATTGGCAGCTTACCCACAGGAGCCTTCGCCTTGCTTTCATCATCGCTCTTCTTCTCGGGGGCGGCCTGAGAGTCGCTGGCGGCTACCCCGAGATGATCTGCATCCCCACCAGCCTTTGCTTCAACAGAAGGAACCGCTTTAGCCCCCAACGCCTTCGAAAGAGGCGAAGGCAGCTTGGCGGCGCCAACTACTGGCTTGGGAGCCAGTGGCAGCTTGGCCACGGGAGCCTTCGCCTTGCCCTCATCCTCGCTCGTCTTCTGGGGGGCGGCCTGAGAGTCGGTGGCAGCGTCACCGGGATGCTCTGCACCCCCTCCAGCCTTCACCTCAACAGAAGGAACCGCCTTGGCCCCCACGGCCTTCGACAGAGGCGCAGGCCCCTTCGCGGCGCCAGCAACCGGCTTGGAAGCCAGTGGCAGCTTGCCCACAGGAGCCTTCGCCTTGCTCGCATCATCGCTGGCCTCCTCCGGGGCGGCCTGAGAGTNGGCAGCTTGCCCACAGGAGCCTTCGCCTTGCTCGCATCATCGCTGGCCTCCTCCGGGGCGGCCTGAGAGTTGACAGCGGCTTCCCCGAGATCATCTGCAGCTCCATCAGCCTTCGCCTCCACAGTAGGAACCGCCTTGGCCCCCAACGCCTTCGAAAGAGGCAAAGGTACCTTGGCGGCGCCAACTCCTGCTTTCGAAGCCATTGGCAACTTGGCCGCAGGAGCCTTCGCCTTGCCCTCATCGTCGTTCGCCTCCTCTGGGGAGGCCTGCGTCTTGGTAGCGGCCTCACCGAGATGCTCTGCATCCCCTCCAGTCTTCGCCTCCACAGCAGGAATCGCCTTGGCTCCAAACGTCTTCGAAAGAGGCGAAGGCCCCTTGGCGGCGCCAACTACTGCCTTGGGAGCCAGTGGCAGCTTGGCCATAGGAGCCTTCGCCTTGCTCGCATCTTCGCTTGTCTTCACCGGCGAGCCCTCCGCCACGCTCTTGCCCTCGACGGGATGCTCTGCATCCCCTACAGCCGTCGCCTCCACAGAAGGAACCGCCTTGGCCCCCAAGGCTTTGGACAGAGGCGCAGGCCCCTTGGCGGCGCCAGCAACTGGCTTGGAAGCCAATGGCAGCTTGGCCAAAGGGGCCTTCGCCTTGCCTTCATCCTCGCTCGTCTTCTCGGGCGAGGCCTGCGTCTTGCTGGCGGCCTCACCGAGATGCTCCTCATCTCCATCAGCCTTCGTCTCCACAGTAGGAACCGCCTTGGCCCCCAACGCCTTCGAAAGAGGCGAGGGTACCTTGGCGGCTCCAACTACTGGCTTAGGAGCCAGTGGCAGCTTGGCCGCAGGAGCCTTCGCCTTACTCGCATCCTCGTTGGCCTCCTCGGGCGAGGCCTGCGTTTTGCTGGCGGCCTCACCGAGATGCTCCTCATCTCCAGCAGCCTTCGCCGCCACAGCAGGAACCGCCTTGGCCCCCAACGCCTTAGGAGGAGGCGAAGGCCCCTTGGCGGCGCCAACCGCTGCCTTCGCAGCTAGCGAAAGCTTGGCCGCAGGAGCCTTCGCCTTGCCTTCATCCTCGCTCGTCTTCTCCGGGGCGGCCTGAGAGTCGCTGGCGGCTTCCCCGAGATGATCTGCATCCCCTCCAGCCTTTGACTCCACAGAAGGAACCGCCTTGGCTCCCAACACCTTCGGAGGAGGCAGAGGCCCCTTTGCGGCGCCAACTACTGCCTTGGAAGCCAGTGGCAGCTGGGCCACAGGGGCCTTTGCCTTGCCTTCATACTCTCCCGTCTTCTCGGGGGCGGCCTGAGAGTTGACAGCGGCTTCCCCGAGATCATCTGCAGCTCCATCAGCCTTCCCCGCCACAGCAGGAACCGCCTTGGCTCCAAGTGCCTTCGGAAGAGGCGAAGGCCCCTTGGCGGCGCCAACTGGTGCCTTCGCAGGTAGCGGCAGCTTGCCCATAGGAGCCTTCGCCTTGCTCGCCTCCTCGCTCGCATCCTCGGGGGTGGCCTGAGAGTCGCTGGCGGCCTCACCGAGATGCTCTGCATCCCCTCCAGCCTTTGACTCCACAGAAGCAACCGCCTTGGCCACCAACGCCTTCGGAGGAGGCGAAGGGACCTTGGCGGCGCCAACCATTGCCTTGGGAGCCAGTTGCAGCTTGGCCACAGGGGCCTTCGCCTTACTCGCATCCTCGCTCGCCCCCTCCAGGGAGGCCTGCGTCTTGGTGGCGGCCTCACCGACATGCTCTTCATCCCCGCCAGCCTTTGCCTCCACAGAAGGAACCGCCTTGGCCCCCAAGGCCTTCGACAGAGGCGCAGGCGCTTTCGCGGCTCCAGCAACTGGCTTGGATGCCAGTGGCAGCTTGGCCACAGGTGCCTTCGCCTTGCCCTCATCCTCGCTCGTCTTCTCGGGTGAGCCCTGCGCCTTGGTGGCGGCGTCCACGGGATGCTCTTGATCTCCAGCAGCCTTCGCCACCACAGCAGGAAGCGCCTTGGCTCCCAACGCATTCGGAGGTGGCAAAGGCCCCTTGGCGCCAAGTGCTGCTTTCGAAGGCAGTGGCAGCTTGGCCGCAGGAGCCTTCGCCTTGCCCTCATCCTCGCTCGTCTTCTCCGGCGAGCTCTCCGTCGCCTTGCTCTTGCTCTCCCCAGCCGCTGCATCCTCAGCACCCCCAGCAGCACCCCCAGCAGCCGCCGTGGCCCCCAAGGCTTTGGGGGGAGGAGGCGGAGGCCCCTTGGCGCCAGGCGCTGCCTTCGAATGCAGTGGCAGCTTGGCCGCAGGAGCCTTCGCCTTGCCCTCATCCTCGCTCGTCTTCTCCGGCGAGCTCTC